CTTCTTGTCTATTCCCTATTGCTATACGTTCACTCTCTCTCTCTACTACTATACGGATTACGATTCTCTTCTGATCATTATACTATTTGGCAATTAGTACTTGAACAAGTATTACTAGGGCGGATATTATTGGAAGGCGTTACTACTACTACCGGCGTCTATGAAGTCTCGAATATAACGAGCATTTTTGGAAGTGATAACGAACTTTCGCTTGACATTGCAAAAGTGAAAAGCGAAGCCGTCCAACATCACAAAAGTGGCGCCGAGGATTCGCAAGGAATCACAAATGTATATATATATATAATGGAATGCTGGCAACTGTATGATGGTTAGTAAGAACATCTAACAGACTTGTTTGTCAATATAATGGGTTGGATTTTATTTAGTTGCACTTCTAAGTAGCGCTTAATGTGACCTAACACCAAAGTGATGAGGATCGAACACACTATTTTTTACGGATTGATACTAATTTTGTCATGACGTGTGAATAGTTGAGCGGCTGTAGTTGTCTTTTAAGAATCAATACATTTTATATTTCAATCTTAAAACAAAAGCCCGCTATTATTTTTATTCTTTCCATTATATGATTAACCTGACTCAAAACGTACTCCAATCAAATCACGTAGTTTTGGGCCATCTGAACAATATGTGTGCAAACTGAATGTAGTACGGATTTTTTCGCTATTTTTGTGAGCACTATCCTTTATAAAATTGTTTTATATATGACCAAAGACTACTTTAAAGGAAATGTGCCTTATTAAGTGTTGTAACCTAGGAAAGGTTACTGAATAGAATAATCAAACGAAGGTTGACATTGAACGATAATACATAGGACAAGAACAACACATATAAGATTCGCCATTTTCGCGTAGAAGTAGTCAACTACTAGACATGAGTCAAGTGAATTCCACAATGAATCTTCAACTACGGGATATCTACTAACCGCTCCACGCGGTCAGATGTGGCACAAGGCCGAATTAAATGTGGGGTATCTGAGCCCGTAGGCTCGGCCAAAAATTCCCCGTAGACACCGTATAAAACGGGGTCGGGTAGCTGTTTCCCGAGACGAGACTCTGCTATTCGACATAACCTCGTCTGGGGATCCTCTATGCCCGGAGGCAGACAGTTTGACCAGCACAGCTGGAGACGAATCTCCAACTCCAGACCAACATACAGTATTTACTACTGTATTTATGTGAATGGGGATATACTCATTATCTTCCGTATGCTACAACACTAAGTGTTCAAACTGAATGTAGTACGGATTTTTATAGCTGTTTTTTTTTTTTAGCAGTATCCTTTATAAAATTGCTTTATATATGACCAAAGAATACTTCAAAGGATTGGTGCCTTACCAAGTGTTAGAATAAGTAATAGTTTGTCATAGTTGAATTCCGCAAACTTTTGGGTAACATTCACTTTATTGTGTTATTGGTGAGGGCTATGAGTTAAGTAGTAAGGCAGACTGGATAGTAGCCATCTAAGAGAAAGAAAACCCTGAGTTTATGCCCGGCATTGTCCTGTGTGCATCTTTGAATGAAGGGAAGGCTAAAGAGTAAACTCTACTCAAATCTGGAGTGAAACTCATATCCAGTTGAATGACGAATTGCCTCACCTTTCCGTAACTCCTACAGATGTGTTGTTATCAAATTTTTTTTTTTTATAATCATTTCACCTCAAGCATGTCAATAAAACCACTGACGCAATGGCTACAGAATATGGGGAAAACACTATTAAGAAGAAAGAACAATAAAAGAACAGGAATTAAGAAGACTGAAGTTAACGATTGACATTGTATTTAAAATTTTGAAGATCAAAGTTGACAGGGAAGCAAGAAATCGGAAAAAAGTTCCACAAGCGAGAGAAGAAACCGTTAGCATAGAACTTACGGTCACATCTAGGTATTCCAGCTGTAAAAGGATGAGACCTTGCCGCCAATCTAGTAATGCGCTTAAATCCATAAAGTGTAGGTACTATGGAGGAAAGTTCATCAGAACAATTACTATGAAAGCATTTATAGAAAAGACACAGGGAAACTACATTACGGCGCTGGGAAAGTGACTGAAGACAGAATGCCAGGTCAGGACCAATAACATTGCAGATTCTTCTTTGGATTTTATCAAGAATCTCTAAAGGAGCACTGGACCATATGTGGCAGAAATATTCAAATCAAGGATAAATAGTAGACTTATAAATGTGTAAGACAGATTCTGTCGAGAGAATTTGTCTAGTACCAACTATCCTAGCAGCAGAACTAGCAAATAGTTTATTGTTTTCATTGGAATTTACTTATCTGAGAGTGATATATGTGTATATGCAGCTTAAGATCTCCACAACTCCTGCTAAGTGTTCTAAAGCGTTCTACGTTGTACTATCGACTCTTGAAATGAGCGCATACCAACGCATCGCAGCTGAAGACAATAAAAAGAAAAGTATTCTCGATCTATCCAAGCGTTAGTTCATGAATTTGATGGTATAGTAATTGTGTTTTCAATCCTTGTGCCAGGCAGTATGTACATGGAATTTTTAAAGTATCTGATAGAATTCTTTTGATGAATAAAAATCTGTCAAATACACCTGTAGCTTTTTTTTTCTCTCCCAAACTTTGTTTTCAAAATAAGGATTCGTATTATAAACCGGTTTGAATTATATTCTGAAAAATGGCGTATTTCAATATTCTTAGAAGTTTAATATTGGACTTAATTTATTCTTATAGTATTTTTACGATTTTTGATTGTAAGCAAATTCATCATTGTTGACTCTGTGATTTAGCAAAATCGTTAAGAAATTTCATACTCAATATTTTCCGTGTTAAAATGTCTTAAATATAACTAACGTAGAATATGCTCTTTAAGATGTTGTTGTTGCAATGAAGTTGTAGGCACACTCTCTTTTTTTTTGTACATTGTCTCGCTATTTAGCTGAAAATAAGAATAAAATTGTTTTCTTTGCTTCAATCTCTGACATTATCACTGAGTCTAAAATTGTTACTTTCATTAATTTTCAAATTAAAACCGATCACTTTCATTATCCTTTATTAGCTTCTAAAACTTTCTGTGTTAGTCTTATATACGGAAAATATTTCATAGGTCTTCATCTAGAATCGGGAATCTTTAAAACTCACCATCTGACTTAGCTGCCCGATCCCCACTTTTAACCTTTCATCTAAGTCCGTATTTTAACTTTACATCTGACTTAGCACCCCAATACTTTTAACTTAACATCTAGCTTAGCTCCCTTTTAAAAAAACATCTGACTTAGCTCCCATTTTTTCTGATTTAGCTCCCCCCTCTCCGTTTAAAATTAACATCTGACGGACTTCGTATTTTTAACATTTGACTTAGCCCCCCCACCACCACCACCACTTTTAACTTAATATCTGATGTTTAAGTTTAAACTTAACATCTGACAGTCCATCCATTTTTAACGTATGACTTACCACCGCCCACTTTTAACCTATTGTCTGACTTAGTCCCCACTTTAACTTAACGTCTGATTTAGCCCCCACCACTACTTTTAACTTAACATCAGACTTAGCCCTGTTTTAAAGACATCTGACAGACTCACTTTTAAAGACATCTGACTTAGACCCTCTTTTAAAGACATCTGACAGACCCACTTTTAAAGACATCTGACTTAGACCTACTTTTAAAGACATTAGACTTAGACCTACTTTTAAAGACATCAGACTTAGACCTACTTTTAACTTAATATTTGATTTAGCTAATATCTGAGATCCCACACTTAAAACAAGATCTGACTTAGTCTCCCCGACATTTTTAATATCTGATTTAGCCACAAAAATTAGACAAGTAATGGATAGCGGCTCGGATTGAGGAATCGGAGAGCCGAGTTCGAATTCCAGTCGAATGCATTACTTTCACTTACGTGCTAATACCCTTGGGAAAGGTATGAGTCCTCTTCTTCTTCCCCCAACTAATGGAAATAGCATGATAGACCGGGTTCTATAGACTTGGATGGCAACTGGTCTACCGCAGAAAGAAATGGCAACCGACTGCGGGAAAAAAATCTGCCTCGTCTTTCATGTATTGAACGATACATGATCGCCTACACGTGGATCAAGCATGGCACAAAACAAATTAACCTAGAATATGTCCTTTATGATGCTGTTTTTATTGTGCCAGTGAATTTGCAGAAAATCTCTCTTTATCCTTGTATAATATTGTCTCTTTTTGTGGTGGTTATGTAAAGCTGGTGACATGAATCTATAAACAATTTCTGATATGACGAAATGTAAGACGAAGAACTATTTTTAAGTAAATGTCACGGGTGACCCTTTTCAGATTTTTATGATTCATCTTTTCTCAAGTTAAACGTCAATGTATCTTTTTTTAATTCACCTTCTTACATCAATTCACGCTTTGATGAGCCTGTTCTAGATGTTTCATAAAAGGAAAGAAAAAAAACAGATTTGACAAAACAGAACTATTTTTATCTCTGGATTATATAAAACTACTGGTATTTTATTTTCCCTCTCTATTCAATGATATATATATATATATATATATATATATATATATATATATATATATATATATATATATATATATAAATGTCTGTTTATGTCCGTTTTTTCTTTTGAATAGATGAGTAGTCAGTCACAGTGAAGAGCAGTTAGGCGGAACGCCACGACAGAGTGACGTCATAGATCACCTGACTGAAGTGAAGAATATAGTGAATGAATGTTTGAACGAATGGATTAGGAGAGAATATCGTGTTTACACACTCTAGATAACAGCTTTTGTATTCTACGCATTCAGTTGACGTAAACTGTGAAAAACGAGACAGATTAAGTGCACTTCGGACTGTGTCGAGTGGCAGGTCGTTTAGTAAATTTTGCAGACTTTCTTAAGCATTATTAGACAATATATATATATATATATATATATATATATATATATATATATATATATATATATATATATATATATATATATGCGAAGATATACTGAATTGAACATGTATATATATATATATACAGAGAGAGAGACAGACAGACAGACAGAGACAGAGACAGGGAGAGAGGATAAATAGATAGAGTTGAATAGACCGAGATAGATAGATAGATAGATAGATAGATAGATAGATAGATAGATAGATAGATAGATTTGAATAGATTGAAATAGAGAGACTTAAATCGACTATGATAGATTTTGCAGACTTTTTTTTAGCATTATTAGACAATATATATAAATACATATATGCGAATTAAGATTTACTGAAGTAATTGAACGTTTGTGGGTTTATATATATATATATATATATATATATATAGAGAGAGAGAGAGAGAGAGAGAGAGAGAGAGAGAGAGAGAAGAGAGAGAGAGTTATGACAAAACTGGGATAGGTCGATGGAACACAAAAATAGATAGATAGATAGATAGATATACTTAAATGGACTGTGATAGATCTATAGATAGATTGGAATAGCCAGATAGATAGATAGATAGATAGATAGATAGATAGATAGATAGATGCAAAATTAGTATTGTATATGAATAAAGTCGGATTCTTGCTTAAATTTACAGTTTAATGCATTTGCTACAAAAATAAAGAAAAAATTGTCTAATCAGCTTTTATACACAACACTTTCATTGATCTATCGATGCATCACTCTGTGTATGTAATTCTCTCGCTCCTGACACACACACACACACACACACACATATGTATAATTTTTTTCAGTAGAAACGTGGTGATTTACTTAAGGACAAATATAAATAGATATTATATACTTGAAATTTCAACACTCTACTCATATATATTTTTTTTTTTTTTTTGGCTAAAAAATAAGAATAAAAATTGTTTTCTTGGCTTCAATCTCTGACATTATCACTGAGTATCAATTGTCTAAAATCTTTGATTAATTTTCAAATTAAATCCGATCACTTTCATTATCCTTTATTAGCTTCTAAAACTTTCTGTGTTAGTCTTATATATGGAAAATAGTTTATCGGTCTTCTTCTAGAAAATGAAAAACACGCAAAAAATAAATCTGTATTTAAAATCCAAACAAAAATGTTTGCAATTGGATAATAAATTGATTAAAAAAAATAAAAAATAAAAAAAAAAAAACTTCATTTTTACGAGTGGATCAAATAAAAAGAAACATCTGACTTAGCTCCCAACTTTTAACCTTTCGTCTGACTAAGTTTTACATCTGACAGTCTCTTTTTAAAGACATCTGATATAACCCCTACTATTAACTTAAAATCTGATTTTAAGTTTAAAATAACTTCTGATAGTAACCAACTTTTAACAACACCTGTCTTACCACTTTTAACTTATCATCTGACTGAGTCCCAACTTTAACTTAACATCTGACTTAGCTCCAATTGAAAGACATCTGACACCCCCACTTTAAACTTATTATCTGATTTAGCAGCCTCCATTTAAACTTAAGATCTGATAGACCTCCACCACTTTTAACAACCTCTGACTTAGCTCCCTTTTAATCTATCGTCTGATAGTCTCCCACTTTAACTTAATATCTGACTTAGCCCCTTTTAAAGACATCTGACAGCCCCACGTTTAACTTAATATCTGACTTAGCACCCTCACTTTTAACAACATCTAACTTATCCTCCAACCCCATATTTTTATATCTGACTTAGCATCAAAACTTTTATTCTGTTGCGCTGTGTCTTCTGAAGAAGAATTTGTAAACAGTGATTTCTGTTGCTGATAATACAAAGTCATTCTACGAATTGAGCCCTCTCGGTCACTCGCGTATTCATTCAAAGAATGAATACGCAAAAGTTAACATTTAAGCTAAAAGTTAACATTCCTCTCTACCGATAGCTTAGGAGTAAAATCTCCGACTGTTGCCGAATCAGTTGGGTTTCTATCCTGGTTTGAGGCAATCGGATATCTAGCCACACTGATGAACTGTGATACAGCGAAACAGTCTGTCTGTGGGTGACAATATATAGTGGGTGTTCTATATATTTATTGTGCATTTTAGTTTTTTATAACTTCTCATATTTTAATATATATATATGTGTGTGTGTGTGTGTGTGTGAGTGTGTGCGTTATTTGACAAAGTTTAAAGAAATCAAATTATTCAATTTGTTACTCATTTCACATTTGATAGAATATACATTTCAACACTACGAAACAAAGAAAATAGAATTTTTCACCTCCCTACCAATCTGTGCTATTCAGAAAGAATTTTCCCAGCCATACGAAAAGGTGCTGAAAACTTCTCAGCCTAACTCACTCATTTCCCAGAATCAATTTTCTAAGGTTATGGAAATACTGATTTTTTTTTATTAAGTTGGTCGAAAACATTTCAGTTGTATAGACAATGGGAAAATATAAATTCATTAAAACGAAAATTTAATAATAGATTTAAATTAATTATGACGTATTTGTATCTAATAATGAAAAGACGTTGGACATTTTAAACGGTACAAATTTCTTTTAAAGAAGACATTTTTCTTAAGGAGTACTGAGAAACCTTAACATAGCCAGGAACGAAACGAAAAATTCTGCTCAAACTTTGAGGGTCTAACTCATTAGGAATAGTAATGATCCTAACAACTACATATCTGTAGATATATTCACATTTATATGCGTAAGTATATAATTACATATATGCTAGTCACTGTCAAGGTCGAGTATAGTTTAATAACCTTTTTAAAGTTGCTACTCTTAAGGTTGCGTTTATGAGAGGGTGATTTAAAACAATTGAATATTCTGGTCTCTGTCAAGGTTGACAATGGTTGTAACAGCCTTTTTACAAATTACTGCTCCCAAGGCTGTGTTTATGAGAGAGTGATTTCAAACAATTGAATATGCAAGTAACTGTCAAGGTTGACAATAGTTGTAACAGCCCTTTTATAGTTACTACTCTCAAGGCTGTGTTTATGAGGGAGTGATTTCAGAATATTCTGGTCTCTGTCAAGGTTGACAATGGTTGTAACAGCCTTTTTACAGTTACTACTTCCAAGGCTGTGTCTATGAGGGAGCGATTTCAAACAATTGAATATCCTGGTCTCTGTCAAGGTTGACAACGGTTGTAACAGCTTTTACAGTTATTACTCCCAAAACTGTGTTTGTGAGAGTGTTTTCAAACAATTGAATATGCAAGTAACTGTCAAGGTTGACAATAGGTTAGGGACCTTTTTACAGTTATTACTTTGTGAGTGATTCATAAAGGGTGTAATTCCTGAGTTCTCACTGCCCACTCTATGCGCTCTTGCTATACAATCTCTCTCTCTCTCTCTCTCTCTCTATATATATATATATATATATATATATATATATATATATATATATATATATATATATATATATATTTTATGTGTGTGCATTTGTGTGTGTTTGTAAAGAATGTGTGCAAATATTATTTTCTGCAGATAGGATCATCGACTCCAGTGAGGCTGACAAGTGATATCTGAACCTTTTACAAAACGTATTTACCTGTTGGTAAGTGTAAAATAATATGAAATAAGCAAGCAATCACCTGAGACGATTGGTAATCCGAAAATGTATCTTAAGAAGCGAATCAAATTGCAACCTTTCTATTTGTCACTGACATTTGCTCAAAACATTATGCGTTACGCTGGGCTAACAACATTTGAAAATCGTGCAACAAATACACACTCACTATGTAAAAAATAGATCTCATTTTATGTGCCTTCAGGATATGACCGATTATGGCTCTCCACATCTACCTGTCCTTTGTAGCTCGAAGCAAAGTTTGTCCTCTTACCATCATTTCGAGTCCATGCTTTGCCATCTATTAATATATAATCGTTAAGTCGGTTATTCGATATTTTTCTCTGCCTATCTTGCCTTCATTATGTCTTATGAGTGTTAAATTTGTCAAACCTTTTTTCCTCATTATGAGTCCCAGAAATGTCAGATTTTGCTTTCTGATTCTGAGTGAAAGACTCTTTTTGTTACCATCTTCCTTAAAACATTCTCGTTGCTCATATGTTCCGTCCATCATATTTTCATCATCTACAATATCTGTTTAATCTTCATCTGTAAAGAGATTGTCCAGAATTCACTGCCATACAGGAAGATTGATATTAAAGAGCAGTTCAACGCTCTTTTCTATGTTTCGAATTTTTCCTGTTGTTTTATATTTTATTGAGCTATTACAAAGCGCCTTCGGATTTGTATATTACATTTCCCGTCGTCTGTTACGACCCTGCTTAGATAGAAAACAGATATGTTCTGTACCTGTTTGGTTCTGATGTCTTTATTTCATATCTCACCCCATGGATTGTTCGTTCTGGATTTGACAATAAACTACATCCGGCAGCAAGGCCTTTGATCGGGAGATATTGAGGACCCCTTAATTGCTGTTGTACCCATATCCACACTGACCGAGGGTGGTAAAAGCCTGTTATCTTTGGGCAAACTAGGGTCAAAACATGAAAATATAAAAATACATTATAAAAAACTTACCAGCAATATATTTTTGGAAAAAAAATTACCAAAGCTCACAAGAAATTAAAATGTCGGCATTAAATGACCCATAATGAATTGATAAGCCTTTAACCCTTTTAGTCCTGACCACCGCTTTACCGGTGGTAGAGAAAAATGACTTGAACGGTTGAACGGTGGGTAAATACTTGCGTCGTGTTTTGTTATTGGTTGTCTTATTTTGAAGAGCCAATCAGAAAAGTCGTAATATTCTGATGTCAACGAACATTATACCAACATGTCTGCGCCTTTTCATTGTGTTTTGTGCAGTGTTGTTGGATAAAAAAATGATCGTTTTTACCGTGAAGTGTTCAGAGTTTCAACCTGGATCGTCATGGAAGCAACCAAGAAGTTATATTTTTGTAACTATTTTTATATCTACCGTGAAACATTATATAGCAATTATTTGCGAATTTTGACTCAGGAGCTCAGGCAGATGGGTTAAAATTGTTCAGGAACACAGGACATAAAGGGTTAAATAAACGAAACGAAACGAAACCAAACCAAACCAAACCAAACCAAACCATGAACTGCTTTATTTGCTAACGACCATATAGGTTTACAGTTAATTCTAAAGTCTACTTCAGCTCTTTACTCCTAACGTCTGCACCTCGACTTTGAAAGTTTATTCCCTGTTTCTTTCCTTTTTTTTCTTCTTCTTCACTAATAAGAGTAGATAGATAGATTGGCCTATCGTCCGATTCACACTTCCCGATCTTTCGAACAGGAGTAGAGTGTTTTATCCTTTGTTTCATGTTCAGGACTGGGTTTCCCGTCCCTTCTAAAGTGTAACTCAGCTCTATACCCTCAACGCTTGTCTTTTTCTATGCTAATATAACTCCACACAGTAACCCTCTACCTTGATTGACTCTTGCGCCTTGCATTGGGTGAACATTGGTAAAAAGATAAATACACACAATAAAAAACCAAAGCGTTTGTGAACTCACCAGACCATAGGTGTTGTTCAGAAATCGAAATGATGCGCTAAGCTTGGGGTGGGTGTGGAAAAATTGGAGAAGGAAGAAAAATATAATGAATCTATTAATTGGGCTACTGTCAGGTAGGTCCCTTGAATGATGAAAAAATGCGCATTGGATGATAACAATACTTTTAGACAGCAAATAGAAGCTTAATGTGATGACCTCCAACTAGATTTTATTCGGATAAGCGATGAAAAGAAACAAGAATTCTCATGTCTTTTTTTGTTATTATCTACGAAAGTAAAGTATATACGGTGGCCCGCTATATTGTTTATAAACAATCAGCGATCGATAAAAATAAAAAAATAAAATAAAAAGTAGCGTGAAAAACACAATAGATTCATTTGTTGGGAACAATCCGTTTCACCTCTGAACCCGATTAACTCATTCTGACTATTAGAAGAGTTTATTAGGCTTAGTTTGAAATATCACAGGGCTACACGTGTAGGAAATCCACTAAAGACTCCACTTACGGTCGACGAAACTATGTTTCGGGACTACGTCTTCCCGACAAGATATCATCAGACTGACAAACCTGGATGTTATTTATTGTTTATTAGACCCAAAAAGTAAACGGCCAATAGCTTTGTGTATTAAGTCGAAATATGGCTTTTCAGAAGTCATTCTGTCACACACACACACACACACACACACGAATATACATTATCATCTAAATCTCACATAGGAAAACTAGTATTACTATACACTTACATACATAAAGCGATATTTACGGGTTTTCAATTAGGCTTAGAATTCGTGAATTTCTTGAAACTTCGAATAGACATGTCGTCCCTTCTTGAATTCAGAATGCCACAAATTATCATAATGTTTGTTTAACAAGTCGAATGTACGTGAAACCCATGAAAATCAAAAAAGACAAAAGTAAAAATACCAGAATTTCTTCTTTTTTTTTCTTTTTATCATGCTCTGATGAAGTCTTTGAAAAGTGAAACATGTTAGATTGATAAACGTTTCCTATTCGTTCTTTATTTTATCATTCTGTCGGATTCCGATTCATATTTGATCTATATTTGATCCCAACTCTTATATATATATATATATATATATATATATATATATATATATATATAGAGAGAGAGAGAGAGAGAGAGAGTGAGAGAGGGGGGAGAGTGTTAACCACTACCACCCACAATGCCACAAATGAAAATACATACCGATCATTAAACTAACTGACGTTAGCCAAATGTTCTTATCACCTTTATTTTGCCACAAGTAGATAATCTTTTTAGCTTTTGATTTATCTTATTCAATGAAGTGGCCATTCGATACCACTGATCGAGATAAATAGTTCATTTAAACGCGTCATAAGCTTATTTTTAGCCGCTGACGTAGATGTCTCTATATATATCCAAATAGTTTAATGACAAAATCATGATAGATAGATAGATAGATAGATATGAACAGACTGATACATAAATACATACATACATACATACATACATACATACATACATAGATATTGATTGATTGTTTGATTCGTTTTCAACGGTTTATCAAAAATTTGTAGGTTATTTAAAGCCAGAAAATATTTTAGTTTATAAGATTTGTTTAGATTGCGAAATTACTTTTAAATAATTATGGTTTAATGACACAAATTTTACTAATTAACCCATAGCTACGGGGAGAAGAGGTGAATTCATACTTTTCCCAATATAACGAACCCAACGAGAATTGAAACTCGGCTCTTCGATTAACAATACCGAGCCATTATCCATTACACCACCAGCACACCTAAACTTATAATACCTAGTTTTCCCAAGCGGTCTCCCATCTTGGCATTGACCAGGTCTGACGTTGCTTAACGTCGATGATCGTACTGGAACCGGTGTTAGATAGATAGATAGATAGATAGATAGATAGATAGATAGATAGATAGAAGTTTACATCTCATCCATGGAATAGGAAGAGAATGAAGGTGGTTTGTTACAATGTGTATGGCATGGCGAGTCTTTGGTGTGAAGGTTAGAAGTGATGACACTAAAGAAATTCAGTTCGTCTAAACACTTTCCATGGAAATAGGGAAAGATCAGCGAGAGGCTTGCGACGTCTCATCTGTGAGGGGGGGGAGAAATAATTCGTCACCCACAAGGACGCATGGACACTTTTGGACTCTATCGAGACTAGAAAGCGAAGACTGGACAGCTGCTTTTCAATGTAGGCAGGCAATCTTCTGAGAGACATTATGTTTGATTATATGCGTCATAACCTTATTTTTAGCCGCTGACGTCGATTTCTATATATATATATCGAAATAGTTTAATGTCAAATTCATGTTATATAGATAGATAGATAGATAGATAGATAGATTTGAAGAGACTGAGATAGATAGATAGATAGATAGATAGATAGATAGATAGATAGATAGATAGATAGATAGATATGAAGAGACTGTGATAGATAGATAGATAGATAGATAGATAGATAGATAGATAGATAGATAGATAGATATGAAGAGACTGTGATAGATAGATAGATAGATAGATAGATAGATAGATAGATAGATAGATAAATATGAAGAGACTGTGATAGATAGATAGATAGATAGATAGATAGATAGATAGATAGATAGATAGATAGATAGATATGAAGAGACTGTGATAGATAGATAGATAGATAGATAGATAGATAGATAGATAGATAGATAGATAGATAGATATGAAGAGACTGTGATTATTTTATCAGAATGACAAATCTGAATGTTATTTATTAGATAGATAGATAGATAGATAGATAGATATGAAGAGACTGTGATAGATAGATAGATAGATAGATAGATAGATAGATAGATAGATAGATAGATAGATAGATAGATATGAAGAGACTGTGATTATTTTATCAGAATGACAAATCTGAATGTTATTTATTGTTCATTAGACCGAAAAGTAAACTGCCAATAACTTCATGCGTTAAGTCCAAATATGGCTTTTCAGGAGTCATGCTGTCACTTTTTCAAATATGTCTTAAAAGATTCTTTTTTTTAATCCTCTCAGGTATTTTTATACTTGAACTCTTTCAGATACAAGACGAAGCCTTACCTACTTGATCTTGATTCCAGTTCAAAAAATCGGGCAAAATAACTCATTCGTTTCAGATAAATAAAATATAAACACTTTGTTAATGTTACGTGAAAAATAATGATGAATTGTAGAATATTATATTAAATTTTTATTAGACAAATTAATATCAAGTGCTATTCATTTTCACCCGTATTTCTTTTGTCTTATTTTTAATTGCTGTTATTGCCGCTACTTAAATCGTTAGTCTACGAATATACGTAAACTACGCCGATCGGAAATACGCAATAAGCTCTACAACTATAAACACTAATCTGTAAATCTCGAAACTTTGCAGTCTTATCCCTACTCTATCGCTATTTCCATGACAAATGTTCAGACGAATTACATTCTTCAGTTCCACCAGTTAAGACCTTTACAGCAAGGACACGACAAGCCATGAACTCAGGGCCGAATCATCCTAATTTCCATTGGTTAAAAAAAATCACTCAGTTTATTCCCGAGAACAGTTACTTTTTAGAAGAGACTAGCAGCATGACCCGGCGTTGCCCGTGCTTGATTCAAAAATCTTACGACTCATACAGCAATCGCTATCACTTGACTTAAAATATTTTGCCCTTCCTTGCCTTTAAAGAAGTTCCCTTTGCCGTGCTGATGTTGCTACATGCCTTACTTCTTGCCTATCTCACACTGCGAATTTTTTCTAAGCTCTATACTAAACATTAAATCTGTTACGAAAAAAGAACTAAACAAAATGAACACAAAACGATCAGCTTTAAAAAGGACTCGTAACTGGAAAAACTGAATGAAAAAAAGAATGTTAACAACAAATACTTTTTTCACACCCAACCCAGTTCTGCGGAATCAGAATCAACGTTGAGTTTAAGCAAGCGAATGAGCCAATTGGAGTAAAGTGTCATGCAGATTTAAATTTTTCCCACCTGTGACGAATGCAGATATCGATTTTTTTTTTGCATGTTAGCATGCTAGTTAACATTCGTGTCAGTCAGCTGTTGGCTCTCACGCTGGTCAATAGAATCTTCCTGCCTATTAGTGGAAGCCAGCAATAGGCTCTCACTCTGGCCAGCAGAAAATGGCCGCAAACTACATGAAAACTGCTGTAGAAGCATGAAAAAATCGATTATTTCCACTATCGATAGGAGTTGGGAAATGCAACGTCGGTCTTGGCTTTCCCGCTAACTTGGAGCATGTGCATGTAAATTTTGGTGCAAATCCGTCGAAAATTGCGGCCGTGCATTCGTTACACACACACACACATCCTGCCTTTTACAGATAGAAATTCTCAAGAGGATGCTTCATCGATCACTAAAATCTTAACCCCTTCAAGTCTAGGATCAGGCGTTGTCTAATCTACATATCCTCATAATGTGCACTTACTTCCTTCTCATATATCCGTATAACAACCTCACTCGGTAACCCTCTATCTTGAGTGGCTCTCGGGCCTTGTATTGGGCGAAGCTTTATTAAAACTAAAACTGCCGGTTTGAGTAGATATAAGGTGAAAAGCAACTCAAATTAACATAAAATAATTACTTTTATTTGCACTCGAACTATTGTTCACATCATTATTGCTATTATCACATCTTTTCAGCCGTTTTGCCCTCCGACCTTCATCAGGTGACTGTCGATCTCGGTAAACTTAAGGGAATTTCAAAATTAACCCATCTAAGAGGATAAATTGTTTTCATTCCGCTATCCATGTCTATGGATAATTCATCTTGTCCTTATTTAGTACTGCTCGGTTATTGCTCGCTCTGTTTCCAGTGAGCCTAAATCTACACTACTAAATTCAGAGATTGAACTCACAATTACTGGGTCACCAAATTCGTGAACCAACGTTTTGAGCCATTAGGCTATTTTCCCGTGCGGGCTTAGAATCAGCGAAAACGGGGTGAACAATAACCGAGCAGTACTAAAAAAGAACAAGAGGAGATAACCCTAGACACGAGTAGCGGAACGAGAACAGTCTACTCTCGTAGATTCAATAAAGTTTTCAGTTCAGAATTCTATGTAGGTGCAAGGATAGACAAGCACCTGATAAAGGCTGCAAGGCACAACTGCCAAAACCTAAGCAAAGTATTAAGGAACAGGAAAATTTCGTTAGAACCAAAGAAAAGTGTGCTGATCTGTTATGTAATAACGGTCCTCCTGTATGACAGTGAATGCTGGACAATGTCCTCACAGATGAAGAGTAGACTTGAAACAACAGAAATGTAATAGGGTTCAACATGTGAGTAACGAGGAAGATTTTAGGAATAATGGAAAGTAAAAGGAAATTTATATTCACAATCAGAAAGAGAAAATTTAAATATCTAAGGTACATAATGAGGAAAGACGGCTTGGGGAATTTGATATTCACGTGACATATTGAAGACAAAGGCGACAGAAAAATGCAGCGGGCACAATCTTAACATTAGATATTCAGACGATACAATGTTGATAGCAGACACGGAAAAGAAGCTATCGAAACTCCAAGAGAAGCTAATAAAATAAAGCGAGAAGAAACATCAATTGTAAGAAGACAGAATGTATCGCTGTCAGCAAAAGGGAACAACCCAAAAGGCGAAGTTCAAAAATTTAAATACCTAGGAAGTATTATAACAGTGGAAGGAAAATGCAAAAGGTGCCTTCCAAAAACTAAGCAATGAATTATGAAATCGGAAAATATCTTTAGAAACAAATAAAAGAGTACCGAAATGTTACGTAATATCAGTCCTCTTACACGGCAGCGAATGCTGGATAATCTTCTCACGGATGAAGAACATATTTGAGTCAACAGAAATGTAATTCCATAGACATATATTAAGAATCCCATACATGTGAGTAACGAGGAAGTTGTCGTGAATAATGGAAACTAAAAGGACATTTATACTTAGAATCAGAAAGAGATGAATTAAATTTCTAGGTCACGTAATGAGGAAAGACGGTTTGGAGAATTTGACATTCATGGGACATATTGAAAGTAAGAGAGACAGAGAAAAGAGGCGTTTAACCTGTCTAATGTGTTTGTATTAATGGTTGTAAGACCAGGGATTATAAGAGATAGCAAAAAGACATTCCATACGAAGATCTACAAAGGACAGGAAGTTGTGGAGAACTGCGATCACACATGTCCTTTAGGGGCACATTTCATAGAAGAAGTCTTTCTCGCTCTTGTAAAATATTTGCTCGCATCATATTAATCTTCATAATGATAAAGAGAGTCTTCAGAAAGCTGAATGATACTTCATTCCTCTGAGGAACATGTTTCGAATGACGTCATAGGGAACCTCGAAAGAGCCTTGTATTTTACAGTGTTCTAACTTTCCATTCGACTCATGTACTTTTAAAATCCCTGATAACCCTAAAGTTATGCGTAATTTCAATGTTAGAAAAACATGAACACTTGGTGCGACACTATGTGACCGCACCCAAATTAATACAATGAGTCGTGCGGAAACGAAATTTACAATTTCTCGTCAAATGCAGATTACGAGTATTCACACCTTAATTTCATTCATTCGTGAAATTAGACAAATATTTACTACGAACGAGAAAATTTTATCCATTCATAAAATGAAAAGAAATACTTTGAGGAATTAAATTGGAAAAGATCCATTTAATTCTATATCGATTAAAACTCAAAAATAAATTGAGAGATGTATTTAATTAATTCATTGATTAGTACAAATACATAAACTGATAGATCAATAAATATCGACTTGAATTGATGCTTATGCTGATGGCTAGAACTAATCGACGTAGTGGAAAGATGCAGTACTATTTAATTTCCATGAAGGGGAAACTGAATTTTGCTCTTTAAACTGGCTTTTAGTAAGACAGACAGATAGATAGATAGATAGATAGATAGATAGATAGATAGATAGATAGATAGATTGAACTCCATAGATAGATAGATAGATAGATTATGGATAGACTGAACTCCATAGATAGATAGATAGATAGATAGATAGATAGATAGATAGATAGATAGATAGATTGAACTCCATAGATAGATAGATAGATAGATAGATAGATAGATTGAACTCCATAGATAGATAGATTGAACTCCATAGATAGATAGATAGATAGATAGATAGATAGATAGATAGATAGATACTTTTATTTACTTAACGATTTAATCGACCCTAAAATGCGCGTGTGGAC